CTCATCGTGGAGGGTCTCACGTCCACCGCCCTGGCACCAGCTGCTGGTTCCCAGCGTGGCGGCGAAACCCTTCTCGTCGTCGCACACAAGACCTCCCTTGTCGTTGTCTTGTCAGCCCGCATCCGGGGAAGGAGTTCCCTCACGATCCAACGCTCCTCTTCGGTGGTATCCTCAGACTCACGGTCCCGCCCCCTGGCGGGGCTGTGACTCCCGCAAGACGCATACGGGGAGCTCGCCCTCGGAGGCGTGCGACCCCCATCCGGGTGAGGCGACGCCTTCCTGCCGGGCCTCGGAGAACCCCCCTTTTTCTCGAAAGAAACACGGCGTTCCACACGTCCCGTCCGTGGTGACTTAGGGGCCCCTCCGCGAGCAGGCGGTGGGGTCCGGGGTCTCTCCGAGTCCCGTCGCTTGTTGAATGGCCGATATTGTTTGTCATCATCATGCTGGCCCCCCTCTTTCTGAGGTCCAGCTTTAAACCCTTTTGGCTTGCGATCCCTATATTCAGCACACTCTAGTTGCAGCGCGTCTCTGTCTCCTAACGCCATAACTGATGGATTGTTAGATCCTTTTCCGGTTTTACCGAACCGCATGAAGGCGCAGCTCGCCATCCGTCTGAGTTCCCTCATGGGCGTGGTGTCTGTGTCCACCGTACCCATGTATGAGCTGTAGTGGGCATGCTGATTTTCGAGGAATAAAGCCTTAAAACTTTTATCCTCCTCCATCCCATCCTTGCATTCTGTACCAAAGTACGCGTTGAATAGACGTTGATAATAGACTTGCGGGTCTTCAGCACGACCCTGTTTGACCGATAAGGCTAGCTGTAAGCCAGGCCGCCGTGTGTTGTAGGTGTACTCCTGCCGAACCACCTGTTCTAGCTTCTCGTAGCTTCCCTGCTCATAACCCTACACAGTTAAGAAAGTAGCTAAAAATGTGTGTGTGTTATGGGGTGCCATTTGTAAAGTCAAGTAAAATATAATCTTGGGGCATTTAGCATTTCAGTGATACCAAATGTCAACGCAAACAAGATGGTGATGAATGCAGTCACCACACCTACCATACTTAATGAACTATTCTTGATACAAGCAATTACCCTCTTAAAAAAAGCAGGCTTTGTTTCTTTTTTACCATTGAAATCCTTTTTGTCAACATGCTTCTGTGAGCTGTTTTTCGAACAAAAAGAAACTGACTTGAGTTTTACCGAGGACCTCTCACAGGTGTTGACAACTGTGTTTTTACAGACAGCGTCACTCCAGTCTTCTGCTGACTTCAGCTGAAATTTAGAGCCAGGTGTAGCATTTACGATTTGAACAGAGCAATCTCTTTTCAAATGCACCTTCTGAGTTCCATCACATAGAAAAGATGAAGATGGCTTCTTGTCAAGGACGCTCTCAGATAGGGCGATGTAAGATTTTCTTGAGTTGGCCTCATTCGTGCCACATGACTTGTCTAAGCTGTGTAGTTTTTCATCGGATGAACGTGTTTTATCTGTGTAGCTAAGGGGTGACCTTTTCAAAGAACTGACTTCCTTGGATTGAGGCTTGAATGGATCCATTATTTTTTCTGCTTTCCTCACATAAGTTGTTTTCCTGAACTCAGAAAGGTGGTTCATGGTTATGAAATTGTGATTAAGTGCTTCAGAAGGCTTTATGCGTTTTTCTTTATCCATCTGTAACATTTCTTTGAGCAAACTTATAAATTCTTCCAAATCTTTTTTCTCTGCAGGCGACTGACATCGTCTGTGCTCTTTGAATATATCTTTCAAACTTTTTGATGAGATTAAACCCGAATTTTGTTTAAAAACCCAAGTTTTCCTAGAGTCTGTTTCTGCTTTTTTGAAGAATGTTTCTTTAAAAAAGGCAGATTGTATTAAATCATCATCTGGTTCACCCATAAAAGACAATAACTTTCTTAAATGATCTCTGATGTTGTCACCGTCAAACAGATGTTTACCAATATAGAAATACGCCAGACAGCAGGCAAGACCCCACATATCTACTCCCCCATCTAATGGGAGACCCATAATAACTTCAAACGCTCTGTAGCGCTCATTCTGCAGATTTAATCCAGTTCTCATCTTGCTTTTCTTGAGAGCCAGACCAAAATCAATTAATTTTACCTTGAAGGGATGCGATTTTTGATTGACTAGCATTATATTGTCTGGTTTTATGTCACTATGAACAATTTTAAGGCTTTCTAGTGTTTGCAGAGAAACTAGCATTTGCTGAGCAATCGCTCTGATTTCTGAGAGCTGAAGTCTTCTTAATTTGTTGGCTCGCATAAAGTCAGACATGCTTTGGTCCAACTTTTCGTAAACTAGACAGTGAGCATTCTTAATTTGAAAATGTTCTATTAATCTCACCAAATTACAGTGATCTGGATTTACCTGTTGAAGTTGTAGCATGTTTTTATATTCTTTCTGTCCATACTTGTTAATTTTTATAACTTTTAGAGCAAGGGATTGCTTTCTACACAAATCCTTGCATTCAAATACATTTCCATAGGTCCCGCTATTTAAAAGTTTACCAAGTTTGTATGCAGATGAGTCCGTTCTGAGAGTCATATTTTTCTTAAATGCACCACCACTAGACCCACTGGTAAAAGAGGACGATTGTCCCATTTTGGAAAATAAGTGAATTCTGACTTACAAACTAAACTATCTTCGTTACCAGATTTCTTCAAGAGTTTTCTTTGCACACCTCATAAAGGGTGACGTCACGTTTGTCTTTGATTGGTCACTGGTTGATGTTCCAAAAACAAAGCAGACGTGCTGCGCGCTGACGTAAATGACGCCCACTTTACGTCACGCTCGTCAAGCTGTTCATCTCCTCTGTGGAAAGAAAAAAAAATCCTCTGTGGAAAGCGTGGGTATGACACAAAATGTAGGTAAAGTGTAAATTATAAACACGATATAATAACTGGGAATTTCTCTAATAACTGGTTTTACCAGTTTGAGGCAGTGTGGCGCTTTGGGTCTACTTCTTCCTAGGGACTCACCTTAACGACTTCTGTTTTTCTGAGAAGTTCCTCAATGCTGAAGGACGCTGTATGGAGAGTGATCGTTGCCACGACTCTAGATAAGTCGCTGTATTTTCCATAGGGAGCCTAAGTTACTTACGCACCATGGGTCCCCGGAAGGACGAAAAAATGAATTAGAGCAGCGGCGGCGCTACGAGACATGCGGATGCACTCTTTCACCACCGCTGTTTTGTGGTGTAGTGGTTTAAAGATTTTGTTTCAGATTTGGGGGAGAAATATGTTCTTGTATTATGGTGTGGGGTGTTTTCAACTAAGTAGATTTAAAGACATTACACAAACGTTTTGAAAAATCTGCAGCTTTGCAAGTATTCAGCTTATGCTTTTATTTTGAAAGGACCGCCGTTTTTGTTTTCAATTGAATGTAGATGATTTTCCTTTTTGTTTTGTTTTTAAAGAAGGAAATGTGAGATCGCACAATTCAATGAGTGGTTCTGGATGTGACCATGTTGATAAAATAAAGCACTAAATGCCGCTATTTCTGAAAAAAGTGGAAAGAACATATGTATAATTGTGAACAAGGATTTTTTGTAACCTGTCTACACTTGCTGTAATGTTTGATACATGGACGTATTTTTTTAGGGGGACAGGGGGACATGTCCCTCTAATTTTTTCCAAAGTCACATTTTGACCCCTGCACGTTTTACCATCCAAAAACATTATTACGCCATATTAAATAGACACTGGTTGAGCACTAGGACCAAGTGGGAATCAACTGTGTTAAAGCCTGTTACCCATCAGAACATACTGTCCTCATGCCGGTTGTGCCCCCCACCATTTCCAAAGTCAAAACTACGTCCATGGTTTGATGACTATTAAAAGAAATGCGGTGATGTTTTGCCAATGGGTAAAATACAAGCAGTGACATTCTGCTCCGCGAGGCCCCACTGAACACAAGCAATGGCTGTCTCTCCTTCTTTCACCAGTTTTTACAGGGTTCTTATGGGTTCTCTACCTGAGACCTGTAACACGTGCAACCCAACTCAGTCCCGCCTCAGCTACGTCAATACATTTTGACATTCAATAGCCAGGTTTTGTTTTATTACCAATTCTGACATCTGTTTTGTATTCTGCGTCGGGGAGTTGTGCCCCACTAATTGAGAACCATTGCACTAACTGGTGTAGGACGGTTGGCGCATGCCCACTACTGTCTCTCTTCATATTGCCAACATACAGTACATGTTTTGCTCCATGTGTGCTGCACATGCTGGCTGGCGTTCTACAGTCTGTCTACAAACTCAAATGGTTGGAAAAACATAACAAAAGAACATCTGCTAAAGTCCTTGACAGACAACTGTGCTCTTTAGTGGCAGCATTTGTAATAATACTTTGATTTGATGTCACAGCCGGCGTGTAATCAGTTTTGGGCAGATCATCCCTTTATGGAATTGTCTACTACTTCTCTCTAAGTGTTTTTCTCCTCAGAAGAAGCTACAACTGTGTTCTGCTGAGCTGTGGTAGCCTCATGGTGGGAGCCATCGGCTAGTACACTGCTGCTAACCACTTAAACATTCTCCCTCTCCTGATAACATTTTACTTTCTCACATGGATTGTGCTACTAGTTCACCATTTAAATTGATTATAGGTTCACTAAGATAAAGACAATAAAGTTTCTCTCTTAATAAAAAGAATATCTACTGAAAAATCACAATGTAGCCATAAAAACACTACTTGGTATAAAGGTTCTGTGTGTGTGTGTGTGTGTGTGGGTGTGCTGTCTTCTCAATCCCTATCTGCTAGTCTGCAGAGGCCACTAATGAAACAATCATTTTGAGCTTTTTGTTCTGAACGAGGAACAAATGGAAGAAGCACAAATGTAAATGAATAAAGCTTCACCAGCTCACCGCAGCTGACTGACGAATGTATTTACCAAAAAGTCAAGTTAGTCACCCTGGAGGCCAGAAGAAAATATCCTCCAGTTTACTAACTGGTGTCTGCAAACATTTATGTAAATGAACCAAAAAACCCACAGTTCAATGTGACTTTTAATCAGGCTATGCATTACATAGAGGTTTCTGGGGGAGCCCATTTCCAAACTAGAACATGATTTAAAAGATTGCACTAGTTTTCATTTAATCTGGATTAGGGCTGGACAATATAGAAAAAAAGTATATCAATAAAAAAAATTATACATTGATCAATATCAATAATTATTGAAGAATATTTTTTAAATTGTACTAAATATATTTTACGTGCAGACCTGCCCGTTTTATTTTTTCTCCGCCTCTTCTCGCTGCAATATCTTGCTGCCTCATGCTGTTTTGGCTCGAGAGGGGAGGGCCTGGTGATGTAGCGTGCTCGAGTCTGTAGTTTTGATTGGTTAGGAGTAAGTAGTGAGTCTAGTTTGCTGCTACCTAATAGGTTATAATGAAAAAAGGAATCAAAGTTTTATCGACCCATTTTTTTCCTATCGCGCCACGTGTCAATTGATAGATATATTAAACTATTGAATTATCGTCAAGCCCTAATCTGGATTAACATAATTTAATTCCAGTTTTTCTGTTTCAGAGACAAACTGGAGCGGCCTAGTCAACAAATAAAACTGCTACAAACCTCAGTTTGTTCTCTTTACATGAGCTTGCCTGGTGTTTTGTTCCATTTACTTGCTTATGGGATACTTTCTTCACATGCTGATGTGTGAAGCACCTCCCACACCTTGTCTAGGACACAGGCTGCTGTGAACGTTTTGTAAATCTGTAACAAATAATGCAGAAAACGGCAGTAGGGCTGGTGAGGTGAACCCATCAGGATAAATATCTCCTGTGTTTATTAATGAGTATTTCAAAATGAAATTAAACTAAATTTCAATGATAGATGTTGTTAAGAGTGTCTAGATGCAGTATTTTAATCTGTGTTATAAATGATGTTAGCGGTGAATTTATGTCTGGGAAAAAATACCCTTCCTCTGAGATGACGAAGTGTTTTATGTGGAAAACTGGTTCTGGTGCATTTTAACGCATCGCACAGTTAAGGGTTGTGGTCATGATGGAACAATAAAAGATTTGAATCCTCTCTCTGATGTTTGCATAACATTCCTATCAGATCAGACCAAATACAGTCAGCTTTCATGACCAGCCCTAGGTTCAACAACAGGCCAGAACTGTTTCGTGTCACTTTTTGAGACTCTGCATCTTCCCTTCTGTTACAGCATCTTCAGCTCGTTTGTGTTTCTGCATGGTGATCTGCAGCTGCCAGTACTTGAGGTAAACCCACATCAGGCTCCCGTTCTTCCTCTTGTCCATGTTCAGCAGATCTGCACAGTGCTTGTCTCTTTTAAAAATATCCTTGAGGTCAGACTCTAGATCCAGATCTGCCACGACAGGATCCTTGACAACCTTAAGGAGGATGTTTCTCTCCATCTCCAGCCGGTTCTCCCGAGGATGGATTACAGAGCAGTAGGCGTTCTGCCGCTCCACCAGCAGGCCTTCTAGCTCCTTCAGGGCGGCTGCAGCACGAAGGTACCAGCTGTTTTCTTTTTCCAGGGCGTCGTGCAGAACAGTACCTGCAGCTCCACACTTTACAAACTTATGCTTCTGGTCATTCAAGGCCTCTCGCTCCTAATGAGGAACAAAACAAAGGGTTTTTATTCATTTTAAAAGGAGAAAAAAGGAGGTATACTAATAAAGGCGGAGGCTCTGGAGACTTACCTGCTCCATCTGTTTGCGTTCCTGTATAAGATGCTGGGAGTGTGAGACCAGAGCCTGCTGGTAACCTTTCGCCCTCTGCCTCTCCTTCTCCAGTTCCAGCTCCAGTGTAGCCGCTGCTCTGCGGCTCTCTGTAAGTGTGTCCCGGTAACGCGCATCCATGTCACTTTGTATCGTACACACATCTCTGTCATACTGAGCTTTAACCTTCTCAATCTCCCTCAAAGATTCACGAGTCCAGATCCAACCTGACATGATGAAACACAAGAAACAGGAAGATATGTGTTTGCTGCCATTTGTGCCCAGTATTTCCCCACATAACCCAGACTGGTTTGCTTCTCTTGGATATTGAAATATGTAGAAACCCATAAGGACCACAGGCCCTTTTAACTTACGAAAAGCAGCCAGTCCCAGCATGGGGACCAGCAGGGCATAGTTCCACTGGTTTCCATCACCAGCAGCCCCCTCTCTTCCTCTGGGATCTGGTTGAATGTTCCATCTGGGGGGGTCATTCAGGTTGTTCATGGAGGTTTCTGTAAACAAACACAAAGAAAGCAGCCAAACCATAAGTAATATGAGATTCTGTAACAGCAAACAGCTCTGACTACTAAAACTTACAAAATATTTGCAATGGTTTATTATTTTACTGAATGAAAGCTTACATATAAAAAAAACTATATTAATTCTTCGCATTGGTTAGCATGTAAACATCAATAAATTCAGGAAATTACGGGTTTCTGACAGAACATAAACAATGCTAGCTTCCGTTCAGCTAGCAGGCTAAGCAACCTTTATCTTTGGGTTTTATCTTACAAAGTGTATTTCAAGTTACAAGGGCAGCACCGCTTTACTTTTATTTTATAACACTGTACGTCTGTTGAATAATTACAGTGTTGCCTCACCTTGAATAATGTCTAGGTCACTTATGCATTTGTTCTTTCATATATCCCGATTTTACGTTTACGTGCTGGTCCACACACCGACAGGTGTGATTGTAGGAAACAACACAAAAAGATTTTCTTTTAATTCCCAAAATAATTTGGCATTTTATTCCATAGGCATATTTAACAGAGTAATAAATGTATTCAAATTATAGTGTAATTCAAATGTATCTAAACAAAAATAAAATTGGTTGTAAAACAATAGATCACCCCTTTATAAAAAGTGGTTTCGTCTCGACTGGTCCGGCAGCGAATCTCTTCCCCCCGCAACAGTTTCTTGCTGAAAACATGGCGACTGTTCGTGCTGCGTCTCGTCTCCTCTCCAGGAGAGTTCTGTCCAGAACAAAAGCAGTGAGTCACAGTAGCTTGGTATTTCAATAAATTCTTATCTATGTATACTCGTGATACGTTAATAAGTTTTGTGTCAACTGCAAGTGAACGTTTAGCTTTTGCCAACGGCAGGCCGGTCCAGCTTGCGTAATGTGTTATGTAGCTTCAATGTGACACAGTGGAAGAAAGCTGCACACCTCTCCTTTCTGTTTTCTGTCACTTTATTTATTAGGACAGCCGTTTAAAGGCCTTATTCGTTCAGGATATTCAGTTCAATTAAATTCAAGTTTATTCATATAGTGCCAAATAACGACAAGAGTCGTCTCAAGGCACTTCACATAGTAAACAATCCAATACAGGTCAGTTCATTAAGCCAATCAGAAAAAAAGTTTCCTATATAAGGAACCCAGAAAATTGCAATCCTTTACAGCTATCCTCATAGTAAGCAAGCATTTAGCGACTGTGGAGAGGAAAACTTCCTTTTAACAGGAAGAAACCTCCAGAGGATCCTGGCTCAGTATAAAGCCAAGCGTACACTGTGCGACTTTTTTGAGCCGGTTTTCCACTCGTACGAGAATCCACAAGATCGGGGCGAGTTTTGCACTGAGCATCGCGTAGTATACTGGGGGTTACGAGCGGCTATTAACACCACGTGACCAGCTACCGATCAGCAATCGTGAGCTCGCACGGACTTCTGGCGTGTTTGATATTTTGCTCGTCCCTCGTGAGGGTATCGCACTGTTGAAGCGGCGCTGCGAGCAGCTGCGACCCAAAAAGTATCAGAACCGCTCATGGCGCATGTGCAATCATGCATCGACACAAGTGGTGCTCGCTGCAGAACCACAAAGGCGGAGCTGCACCAGAAGGTGGAGCTGCACCAGAGTCAGCCCCGCCCATTCCAGAATCAGCCCCGCCCATTCTATCGGAGTCAGTCCAATTCCTTCCAGTTGTCAGACTTTATAGCATTCTGGAACCAAAGAGGGTGTTATAGCTAAAAAAATGCAAGATTGAGGAGGGAGTTTAGAAGTGAATTGAACAGTTTTTGTAAAGGTTCCATATAATTAAAAATCTAACTTTTGGAACTTTTAATCATGTTATAATGTCATTTCCTCATAAGAAACACGCCAAAGCCATTTTTGGCCTCATTCATGCATTTTATTCCCATCTCAGCTTCAATTTGGTCTCCTCCCCCAAAGCGGGTCTGGTCTTGGTTCTCAAATCTGGATATTCTGTGAATTTTCTGACAAATTATTTCTGAAATGACTTCTACTGAGACACCGCCAGAAAAATCATACATCCCATCTACAAAGACACACCAAATAACATAATAAAAAGTAACGCCACCTAATTCTTATCAGATGTGTGGTGTAGTGGTGATGGTGTCAGGTTGACATGCAATTTTGCGCAGGTTCGCCTCCCAGCAGTGGAAATATTCTATAATCTCTTTTCCTCATTTCTAGCTACATTTGCCAGTACTATGTTTACAACAATTTATTGGTATGCCGTTTAACATATAATGACTAATGTGTTTTTTTTATTTATTCATTCGTTTATTTAGCCAGTGTGAGTCCATCTGTGAGCAGAGTTTCAACTAAAATGCTGTTTAGGAACGACCAAATTCAAAGAACTTGTAGAGACATAAATATTTTGCTGAAAATGAACATTACAACTAAAATATGAACAAATTAAATGTTTCAGCTGGCTGAATAGATTGTTGCCGACCCCACCGAGAATCGAACCAGCATCAGCTGAGGGGAAAGCAAAATGTAAGTCAGACGATCTTGCCACTGGACTACCAGAACCCACAGGGAGGAGGGTACATGCTGTTGTACAGCACTTTTGTTAGAGCGGCTGTGGGCAGATATTCGCTACGAGAAACCTTTTTATTTCGGGATATATTCAGACTTTGTCATGTAGCAAGTTATATTTATCTTGTTTAATTGGAGCACAGAACATAGCATTAACGACTGTAAACTAGTAACAGCCGTAATTCATGTGGGTCAGGTCAGTTTGCGATAAAGTTGAAAACAAAAACGGAAGTCAGTGGGCTAGGCTGAGTTTGCGTGAATGGGCGGGGTTGACTCTGGTGCAGCTCCACCTTATAGTGCAGCTCCGCCTTTGTAGTTCTGCAGCGAGCACCCTCTCCATCGACACTGCTCGCCCGCTATTTCCCTAATAACACACGTTGTTCGTTTTTATTTCTACACTTTTTTTTACTCACAAATATTGTCAAGAAAGTTTGTCTGTCGTGTTCATGTCAAACTAAACTGATCACAAAACACAGATTTACTTTCTTTATTACGTTTTCCTCATCCAACCCCCATAAATCCCTGTGTGTCCTCCTGCAGCACTCCCGAAGGACAACAGGCAAAACAAGACAAAAAAGTCTGACGTGTTGTGTAAAAACAGCTATTTTTAGCATATTTTTAGTCCGACGTGTTGCTACCAGATGTACAGTGTGAGCAGTCAGGTTGCATCCGAGAACTGGGTCGTACAGTGTGAGCACATGACTCGTGAGATCTGCTCTGCGAGGAAGTCGTACAGTTTGAGCTGAAGCTGAGTGCTACGAGTGAAAAAGTTGCACAGTGTCCGCCCAGCTTAAGCAGCCATCTGCCACGACTCACTGGGGATCAAGAAGACAGAGCAGACACACACACACACCATATATACCAAGTAGTGTGTCTATGGTTACTTTGTGATTTCTTAGTAAATATTCTAGTTGGTGAGAGATAAACTTTATTGTATTCATCCTAGTGAATCTATAATTAAACGGGTAAACTAGTAGTAGCACATTCAGTGTCAAAGAAAGTAAAATGTTATTATCAGGAGAGGGAGAATGTTTAAATGGTTAGCAACAGTCACACCGTAGTGTTTGTCTAACAGACCACCTAGATCTGAGCATTTGTTCACATGTTATCAGCCAGAGAGAGTCACAACAGGTTTTCTGGTAGCCATGGTGGTGATTCTCTGTGCTGGGTATTAATAATATTTACCTAATTATTATAAATTGCATTTCCCGATTCCTTAAAAGATGTTGGTTTTTTTTTTTGTAAACCTATAAAAATAGAAGATTCCCATGTTCACAGCTAATAAAACAAACGTGACCTTTGATCTAATCCCTATTAAGTACGTCAACACACACATTTACTATTCACCAGTGAAAGACTTAAAGATGTTTTTGTTGTGCAAAGTTATTAATTAGTTTTTTCTGTAGTTAGTTTTTGTACTGGTCTTATCCGTATTAGCAGTAATTGTGTTGTGTAATTTCTCTGTCAGCTTCCTGCTGTGGCGGTTCATGGCTCCAAGAACTTCCACTTCTCCATTTATGGGAAGAAGAAAAGTGCCAAAGTATCTGATGATGTGAGTTTTACTTTCATTAAAGGAGACATATTATGCTTTTTAATTATTCCTTTTTACATCTAAGTCATTCAGTTGGGGTTTAAATACAGTGGAACTGCAGTTCTTTGGTCCGATTTCCTCATTATTGTTGCTCTACAGATTCCTTATCTACCACTGTTCTGAGGAGACTCTGACAATGAGCCGTTTTTGGGTACTGTCTCTTTAAATCTGGAGAAGGAGCTGCAAACTCCGCCCCCATCCACAGAGCAGACCTTCTCTCCTCCCCCAGTCGGACTTTGTAGTTCTATAGGGAAATCATTATGTAGCATAGCAGAAACATTATATTAGCATTTTTAAAATATGTGGGGAGAGTTGTCCATCAAGCTGTTTCAAGGCTGCCAGCTCTCTCATGCATTTGTCTGTAGTCACTAGGGCTGTAGCGAAGCGTCAATGACGTTGATGGCTCGATTCTAAAAATTTGTCGACGTCAGATCTGGTGGTCGACGCATCACGCCCACTTGTTGCATCCCCAGGAGTTTGTAAATAGAGGAGGAATCTGCCTGTTTTTCCTCTAGTTCGCCCTCTTCTCCGCCTTCACTAACATCTCCACCAAATACTGAAGACCCAGAACAATGCCCGTCCGCTACTAGATTCCTTTCCTGTTTTGCCCGCCTTCGTCTCCCAGCAACGGACAACAACTTCCGGGGTCAGATGCGCTGCTTCATCTCTACCGCAGATGCAGAAAATCACTGAGAGAGTTTCTCCCTTCATAAAAGAGCTTCTTTCAGACATTAGGAGAGCTGTTTTGGTGGTAGCAGTCTCTCCTCCATGCTGGTCTGTTTGCTGGTATTTTTGGTTTATTTAAAAGGGCATTATGGAAGTGTGACAGCCAAAACATGTATAAAAATAATAAATTTCTTTTTCATACATTCTCCTGCAATGCCCTGGTCCTGTAGAATGAGCCCTGCCATTTTTACTGTGATTTCCTATTTTTCTGTAAAATCACAGAAAAAGAGAGCTGCTTGGGTCGAGCAGGCTGCTTCATGCGCGTTCACGCTTAGGCATAGCCCTCCGAACTGTTCTTTGAACGTTGTTTCAGCTGTCATCAAGAATATAAATGTTACAGATACAGAAGACGTCACTGGTGGTTTAGCTCTCCTAGTAAGACTTCAGGCTTTCGTGCAGAAGACCCGGGTTCGATTCTGGATGTGAACATAGTTGTTTTAGAGTTTCTTTTTTACATTAATGATATATTTTTTTACAGTAAGATGTCCAAATTTTTATTTGAGACTCGCCGAACGGCATTGAATTCACAGGTAAAAAAGATGTGGGTTCAACATTCATTTTGGAACAATTTTTCAAGCAAGGGAAGGGAATGATCTGAGCATGCAGGAGGACTGACCCATCATAAACCTTTGTCGGCTGTGCTGAAGAGAAAGGTACAGAACCAAATTATTTAATTAATTAGCTGCACATTCTCCTGTCCTCTGTCCTCCGGGCCACACACACACACACACACAAGGGACCTCGTGCACAAGCCTCCTATTGAAGCTGCCGTTACGCTTTTGGCCTGAGGGGGCAATCGCAAGCATAAAAATTCAAAACTCGGTAAAGTCCCTTTAAACTTGGTAACTTGAACTTAACGTTGGTAAAGCTACTGTTAGCATTTTCGCTAACAGCTTCTTGCGTTTGGATAAGCGGTTACGTTTTGGTTTAGAGTTCATCTTTTTTGTGGTGCAGATCTCCCTTTTATTACATTTAGAGTGTTGTGGGTTTTCGGTTTAGTTTAAAATATCACCTTTGAGTTTGGTTTAACCGCCCAGTTTAGAGTTTGGACCTTTGGAGATCCTTATTTTGGTCCAGAACCCTGTAATCTTTGCCCAGTGGGACATCCCTACTTATTTGTACTTTTGTCTTAATTCCCCACAGGCAGAATTTGTTTTATTACTCCCAACCTGTGGATGGAAAGATTTATGTTTTTTTTGTAGTTGTAAATAAACCTGATCATCATTTTAACTTTTAAATCTCACGTTATTGTCCCTTCCTTTTTGCACACGAGCCAAACTCCCCAGGAAGGGTCGTAACACCACTCGCCTCACGCGCATAAGTGACCAAAACAAAGCAGCATGGAGAGACTCCGTCTCCAACCACCTCTCAGGCAGCAGCCTGCACTCCCAAGTTCTACACGTCACCAGAACATAACCAACTAACACAATAAAAGCAGTGTTATACAAAATGGAAGGCCTGTAGTGTTTATTCTCTTACAGTAACCATTTATCAGTTTTTTGGAGGAATTTATTAGAGATTTTTTGGTTTTAATTAACAGTGCAATAGAAAAATAATCATTAGATTAAGTGCCTAAATAATCAGTAGAATAGTCGACTATTCGATAAAATAATTGTCATAATAATTGTTTTAAAAATATTCGTTTACCCCCAGCCCTAGTAGTCACACACACACACATCACGGCCGGCGGAGGGACAAGCGAGCAAGCACGCGCACAAACACACACATCACGGCCAGCGGAGGGACAAGCGAGCAAGCATGCGCACAAACACACACACACACACACACAAGGAATGCTGCTTGCTTATGTATTTATATTCAAAATTTGTTTTAAAAAATGATACAACTCATTAAAACACCATTAAATGAATATATTTTATTAAGATCTCTGTGTGTATATATATATATATATATATATATATATATATATATATATATATATATATGTGTGTGTGTGTGTGTGTGTGTGTATGTATGTATGTATGTATGTATATATATATATGTGTGTGTGTATATATATATATATATTTATATATACATCAGACCAGAGTTTGTCCCAGCTGAGCTCATCAGGGCTTTAGTCTGACAGCCTGTGTCAGTGAAGCGTGGCTCCAGCCTTCTGGATGTGGACTCTAAAAAGCAAAGGAGCATTTTTACTTTTGTTTTAATTATTTTTCTGGTTATTTTATCAGATTTCTGACACTCACGCTCATACAGACGAGTGTCGGTGAGCTTTGCTGCATCTGACTGATGCAGAGTTAGTTTTTATATCTGCAGTGAGACAAAAAACTAAGCTCACTTCACTCAGAGATTGTTCTTTAGAACTCGTATTAAATCCACTGTGTTGACGCACTTTAATGACTTTGTTGCGCTGCATTTTAGCTGATATGGGACTTTATTTACTGGATGCTAAGATCACATCACACTCCCGGAGAACACACAGGCTCTCTGCTGGCTACAATGAGTGGAAGGTCATCATCTGGTTTTTTTAAAAAAAGGCGTTGATCAGAATTTTCTGATCACGTTTTGTTCCACGAAAATCGGCCAAATCCACATTTATCTGGGTGATAACTTTACTAGCATATTGTGCTAGCGTTAGCAGTTTGGATGCTAACACTGTAATGCTGCTAATGCCCCTAAATCTAAATTAACGTTTGCCGACATTTTAGAGTGATATGAAGCTTAATGGTTTGCTGCTTTGTCCTGTTGCTGCCACATTCAGAAGGAAATGACTCCTTTTAGTTGAAGCCCTCGGTACTAGCCACTAGCCTGGGAGACACGAACACACACACAGAAACACACAACTTTCTTCTTCTGTGTTTTTTTTTTTTTTTAGCAGTAGTGTCATCAGCTTCTGGGTTTTAAATACTGTCACACCACCCTTCCTTAAAATGAGGAACAGTTTTGAGCTGTATGTGGCTAAAATAACCAGACATTCTGCATTCTTCCAATTGGACTACAAAAATCTTAGCGAGAAGAAAAATGGCGGATCTGCTCTGTGTAAAGCCGGATGTCCAGGACCATTTTTGGCAGTTATCGTTACGACATAGTCAAAAGATGTATTAGACAAATTTAAAAACTGAACAAATGGACAAATATGACCAAAACTTTATATTAAAATATCTAAATAGCACCTCTAGTGAATAATACAAGGCTTTTTGCACACTGAGATGCTTAAAATGCGAAACATACTGTATTAAGGGGAAAAAAGTGAGTTTTTCATGATATGTCTCCTTTAAGCTTCAGATTGTGGTAGGGATGCTTGCAGTTACAACGACCCTAAATGAACTGATTTTATTTTATTTTTTTATGACACAACTCATCTCTGTCGCTCCTCAGATTTCCACTCAGTATCCGGTTGTGGATCATGAGTTTGATGCGGTGGTTGTAGGAGCAGGAGGAGCTGGACTTCGGGCTGCTTTTGGCTTGTCGGAGGCTGGTTTCAACACTGCGTGTGTCACTAAGCTGTTCCCTACCCGCTCACACACCGTCGCTGCGCAGGTACAACATTAGTTACATCTTCAGTCAACGTTTTATTAACCGTTGATTTAAAGTGTTACAAGATTCCTTGTGTGGGTCGTAGGGTGGGATCAACGCAGCTCTGGGGAACATGGAGGAGGACGACTGGCGGTGGCATTTCTACGACACAGTTAAGGGATCTGATTGGCTTGGAGACCAAGATGCTATTCATTACATGACAGAGCAGGCTCCTGCTGCTGTCGTAGAGGTAATAACACACACACACACACTTACACAGGAACATTTCGGAATAAAATCCCAAACTTTCTTGTTGATGGGATGCTGTCCATCTTTCTCAGCTGGAGAACTTTGGCATGCCGTTCAGCCGCACAGAAGATGGTCGGATCTACCAGAGAGCCTTTGGAGGTCAGAGTCTGAAGTACGGAAAGGGGGGCCAGGCTCACCGCTGCTGCTGCGTGGCTGACCGGACAGGACACTCACTGCTACACACGCTTTATGGAAGAGTGAGAACACACACCCTCTGCATTTTGACCCTGAGAAGCTTCTTATCCTTTTAGGTACCATGTGACTGCATCGGTTTTTCTGCTTCTGTTCAGTCGCTTCGTTATGACACTAGCTACTTTGTGGAGTACTTTGCTCTGGACCTGCTTATGGAAGATGGAGAGTGTAAAGGAGTGATTGCTCTCTGCATGGAGGATGGGTCTATTCACCGCTTCAGAGCCCAGAACACCGTCATTGCCACTGGGTAGGACATCCCACACCAAAGAGTGACTCCAGACCTGAAATTTATCTTCTCATGTTGCTACAGATTAATAGAAGTTGAGAAATGTGTGGTCTCTTCCTTCAGGGGTTATGGCAGGACCTTTTTCAGCTGCACATCCGCCCACACCAGCACAGGAGACGGAAACGCCATGGTGACCAGAGCCGGCCTGCCCTGCCAGGATCTGGAGTTTGTGCAGTTCCACCCTACTGGTAAGAATCAGTTCTGCGTGTTTGAGTAAAGCTGGGTGTTTGACAGCACTTCAGACTTCTCAAATTTTGCTTACATTTATCTGTTATTCATGCAACTGAGCTGGAACAGACCAAAAGCCACAGAAGCGAAGAGTTCATCAAAATTAAAATATCGTTCTCTGATTTTCATCAACGAGCCGCATTGTTTGATCTAAGACCTCGTTCTGTTGAGGTATTCAAGCTCAAAGTCTCAGTCTTGTGGCTTAGATTTATTATGTCTAGAGGCTGTTATTGGTTGATGGTTACACACCTTCTGCTCAAAGGTTGTAGTCCAGCGTCTGCAGCAGGATATCCAACAGAAAGTGTAAAGGCACATTTACTTGTTCAATTGAAATATGTTAGTTTGTCATATGTCATTTAAAGCTGCATATATTCAAACTGAGGCTGATTCACAGCTGCTGTTCAAAACTTCATCATCATTTTTAACATCAGGCGGTGCTGCAGCTGAATTAACCAGTCGTGTTAAAGTCTTTTGTCATCATACAGTGATCACAGAAAGTATTCAGACCCCTGCCGATTTCTCACTCTGTTATATTGCAGCCATTTGCTAAAATAATTTTTTCCTCATTAATGAACACACAGCACCCCATATTGACAGAAAAACAGATTTTTTTTTATTTCTGTAGATTTATTAAAAAAGACAAACTGAAATATCACATGGTTCTAAGTATTCAGACCATTTGCTGTGACACTCATATATTTAACTCGGGTGCTTTCCGTGTCTTCTGCTCATCCTTGAGATGGTCCTACACCTTCATTGGAGTCCAGCTGTGTGGGATTATACTGATTGGACTTGATTAGGAAAGCCACACACCTGTCTATATAAGACCTTACAGCTCACAATGCATGTCAGAGCAGATCAGAATCATGAGGTGAAAGGAACTGCTTGAAGAGCTCAGAGACAGAAATGTGGCAAGGCGCCGATCTGGCCATGGGTACAAAACATCTCTGCTGAACTTAAGGTTCCTAAGAGCACAGTGGCCTTCCCCAATCCTTAAATGGAAGACATTTTGGGACGACTAGAACCGTTCCTAAAGCAGGCCGTCCAGCAAAACTGAGTTACCGGGGGACAAGAGCCTTGGTGAGAGAGGTAAAGAAGAACCAAAAGATCACTGTGGCTGAGCTCCAGAGATGCAGTCAGGAGATGGGAGAAAGTTGTAGAAAGTAAACCGTCACTGCAGCCCTCCACCAGGACCTCAGACTGGGCTGAAGGTCTACCTTCCAACATGACGATGACCTTAAGCATGCAGCTAAAATAACCAAGGAGTGGCGTCATGGTAACTCTTGACTGGCCCAGCCAGAGCCCTGACTTAAACCCAATTGAGCATCTCTTTAGAGACCTGAAAATGTCTGTCCATCAACCTTCACCATCCAACCTGACGGAACTGGAGGATCTGCAAGGAGGAATGGTGGAGGATCCCCAAATCCAGGTGTAAGAAACTTGTTGCATCTTTACCGAGAAGACTCATGGCTGCATTAGCTCAAAAGCCTGCTTCTACTAAATACTGAGCAAAAGGTCTGAATATTTAGAAACGTGTGGTATTTCAGTTTTTCTTTTTTAATAAATCTGCACAAATTTCTGTTAGGATGTGGCACGCTGTCTGTTGACCTTTGACATTTCTGTGGACAAATAACTTTGTTAGACATCTGTCAATATGGGGTGCTGTGTGTACTTTAATGAGGGAAAATGAATTTAATAGATTTTAGCAATTGGCTGCAATATAACAGAGTGAAAAATTGACGGGGGGGTCTGAATACTTTCTGTACACACTGTATTTTGACGACCCCCCCCCCCCCCCGAATTATTCCAGTTGTTGTGGATAGGCGATAGACTTTGGTAAATGAATGTGTGCCGACACATGAGCTCAATCCAGCTGTGGTGCGTTTCAGAATGAAGGCTGCTTAGTGTCGTTGATTAAGTTGTGAATTTGTTTCAGGGATCTATGGAGCGGGTTGTCTGATCACTGAGGGTTGTCGTGGTGAGGGAGGAATCCTGATCAACAGTGAAGGAGAGCGTTTCATGGAGCGTTATGCACCAAACGCTAAAGACCTGGCCTCCAGAGACGTGGTGTCCCGCTCCATGACCATAGAGATCAGAGAGGGCCGGTATGAAAAAGCCTGCTTTTGTTTTGCTGCGTGGGTGATGACAACAACAACTGATCGTGTGCATTTTTGTCGCTGCAGGGGTGTTGGTCCAGACAAGGACCACGTGTACCTGCAGCTCCATCACCTGCCTCCTCAGCAGCTGGCCATGAGGCTGCCTGGGATCTCCGAGACAGCCATGATCTTCGCTGGAGTGGACGTGACTAAAGAGCCCATCCCCGTCCTACCCACAGTCCACTACAACATGGGAGGAATACCGACAAACTACAGGGGCCAGGTGCACCAGGCATCCGCACACACACGCTCACAAACAACCTATTTATACATGAGAAACGTTAAATCTTCATCTCATTAGGTGATTGATCATGTCAACGGCGAGGACAAGGTGGTGCCTGGACTGTACGCCTGTGGAGAGGCAGCCAGTGCCAGCGTGCATGGAGCCAACCGGCTGGGAGCCAACTCCCTCCTGGACCTGGTTGTGTTTGGGAGAGCCTGCGCCCTCACAATCGCTGAGCTGCACAAACCCGGTCTGTAATCTGTGAGTTTTATTTCTGTTATGTAAACTCTAGATTTGTTTTAACGTAAGGGTGCTGTGGTCTCTTCAGGAGAGAAGCTGAGCCCTCTGAGGGCCAGCGCAGGGGAGGAGTCTGTGGCTAACCTGGACAAGCTCAGGTTTGCTGATGGAAGTCTGAGAACCTCAGAGATCAGACTAAATATGCAGAAGGTACACACACACACACACACACACACACACACACACACACACACACACACACACACACACACACACACACACACACACACACACACACACACACACACACACACACACACACACACACACACACACACACACAGGCTGTAAAATAATCCCTGTACTTTCAGACCATGCAGAACCATGCTGCCGTGTTCCGTACTGGTCCAATTCTCAAGGAGGGATGTGATAAGATGCATGACATCTACCAGACCTTAGACAGCATCAAGACCTTTGATAGAGGTGCTGCATGTTTAAAAACTCACTCTGGGTCCAACTGCTCATGTCTGAATGCAAAAGGGTCATAGTGATTTTGTGAAATGTGTGGTTCTCCGTTGTTCCCTTTCAGGCATTGTGTGGAACACAGACCTGGTGGAATCGTTGGAGCTGCAGAACCTGATGCTGAACGCCGTCCAAACCATCCAGGGAGCTGAGCAGAGGAAGGAGAGCAGGGGAGCTCACGCCAGAGAGGACTTCAAAGTTAGTTTTTCGAAAAATAATTTAGCTCATCGTCACCTGGTTTAGGGTGTTGAGTCAGAGATGTGCATGTCACTCATGGTTACTACCCGTCTGCTGCAGGATCGGGTCGATGAGTACGACTACTCAAAGCCCCTGGAGGGTCAGCAGAAGAAACCCTTTGAACAGCACTGGAGGAAGCACACACTCTCATACGTCGACCACAAAACTGGAAAGGTATCATCTCCCGTCCACCATCAGCTCTAAACTCCACCCTGCGTTGATCTCTGACACACCTTTTATCTTCTGACCAATCACAGGTGACGCTGAAGTACCGTCCTGTCATCGACAGCTCTCTGAATGAGCAGGACTGTGCTCACGTTCCTCCTGCCATCCGCTCCTACTAAGATCCTGTTTCCTCTGCTCTTCCACTTCCTCTTCACTCACATTCAGAGGGTTCATTTAGCATCTGTAATAGAGGAGAGCATTCTAGGACGTAAAGGTTTATGTTGCACATTTAGAGATGATGCTAAACACCATCTTCTTGCCATCCGTCACTGTTCTGCCTGTAACTCCTCTTCTAGTCTTGTTCTTATTAAAACTCAAGAGGGACGCATAGTCTCACCCACACCTATGATGCTTCTGTAGCAACGTTTCTTCAGTCAGCTGAGTGAAGAGGGATGATGTAATCTGGCGTGCTCAGAGGGAAGGTTGGATGTGTGTAAATATTCAGAAACAATACAGCGAGTTTCACTCCATGCAGTAAAAGCTTTTGCTCATTGTAGCCTTGGGCTGCTATAGTTGTGAGTGATGTTTTCGCGTGGCTCATTATTAACCAGCTAACAGACCGAGTGAAGCCGCCTGCAGCATCTCCGCACTGATCAAATGAAGAAGCTTAAACCTGTTCTTGTGTCCGCTGATGTAACAGGAGCTACTGCGTTCGTGTTGCTGTTGATTTATTCTGTCAGTGGAAACCAGACACCTGTAAAAGTTACTCAGCTTGTTAGTTTGCTGGAGAAAAGCTGAAATCCTTCCAGTTTTTGTTTGGGAAAAACAAAACCGCTTGTGTGGGTGTCATATCGGTATCAACAGGCTCATTTACTCCGACTCAGTAAACAGGTGAAGGTCTAATGTGCGAAGAGCAGTCTCACACACCGTTCTTGTTTGGATTTGATAAAAAGGGGACTTAATTTATTTGCCTGTTTGAGGAAAAAGTGAAATACCTTCTAGATTTTCATTTGTATTTGTTTTCATATAATCAATAAAGTGTATGTTATGCATAGAAACAAAACACACTTGGCTGTGTGTGTGTGTGTTTTCAGTCCTAGTCTTGGAGGTCTGTTTTAGTTTATCTGCTCCCACACCTGAAACTGCTGGTAATGAAGCTCAGCAGAAGCCTGTTAGTCACTGATTAAACCAGGTGTCAGAGAAACCTCTTTAGTATGCAGGATGGATGCTCTGGAGGACCTGGTTTAGACACAAGCATCAGTTTTGTCCCAACATGTTGAGGTCAAAAATGTTGGATGTCGACCTCCCTGAGTTGGTTGATGTCCTAGAAATCAGCCTTGAGGGACCCCACATGTCATGGCGATTCATTTTGATTGGTAATCCCTAATAGAGACAACATAGCCCCTGTCTTTGAGATAGGATTGGAACCAGATGTGACAGTGTGAGCTTCCTGTCACTGTGTCCTGATTGTTCATGCGCCCTGGCTACTTGGCCAAGGGGATGTCCCTTTGGCTGACTGGTAAGCGCGCATGACTCTCACCCGGGAGTCTGGGGATCGAAAACCGCCCGGGCCCTTGTTTCTCTGCCTTGCCACACAGACAAGCACTGTGCCCGATAGTCCCACCCAGTTTGTGAGTCTGTCTAGAAGGATTGGGAGGACTCAGGGAGGTGTAACGTTGGAGAGTAAACAGACGCACAGGAGGATGTCAGAACGGCAGGAAATCCAAAAGCCAGGGAGTTACGTTGCCATGGTTCTGGAGAAGGGGAAGGAAGCAGTCAAGGCGGTTCTGAAAGGTTGAAAGCGTCAGCTTAGCTTGGGATCAGGAATCCACGAAGGCAAACAATCTGACAGTGAGTGGCCAGTCTTGATTAGCTAATCAGTTGCAGGTGAGAGAGGTGACTCTGCTGCAGAGCTCTGGGAGGTGTACAGCTGAGCATCTCCATGAGCTCTCCAACAAGAATTTAGTTGTTTGTTTGTTTGTTTGTTTTTTTACGCTCTTACTCCAACTCACACTCCAGCACAGTAGGTGGCGGAAATGCACCTAGAAGTTAGATGCCACCCGCCAATAAACACGAAGAAGAAGAAGAGCTTTCCAACAACCTGTGGATGAAAGAACACCTCTCACAGCTCTGGAACCTGACATGTTTGTGATTTTTTTTTAATTGACGAAGGATGCAGACTCGTCACATTTGGTCTGAGATATGAAGTCTGGGGCTAACTCTGCTGGGAGATTAGTTAGCCTCTTGACAGAAGCAAACTGCAGCAATACACTTCTCAATTTTCCAGCTGTCTGGATGTTGGTTCACTGCTGACACGTTCCAGCCACATGTTCAGTTACAAATCGTACAGGATATGGAATAATTCCTACTAATACATTTATTTTACAACAGTTTTTTTTTTCCCATTAGAACATCTTGTGGGCTCAGAATAAGTTGCTTGCCTTGCTGAGCAGAATTTTTAGCACAACGGTGCCCTCTCGTTGCTGGTAGATGTAAACATAAGCCCAAAGCTGTGTCCGTCAAAATAAAATTTTGATTATGATTTTTTTTAAATATAGCTTTTAAAGGAAAACTGTGTATTCATTCTGCACACCTCTAAATACTTTGTGGAGACATTATTTAAAGAAAATATTGATTTCTTTTATGTTCCATATTCCACCTTTAACCCTCCATTTTTGTAGGAATTCATGAGAATCGTCTTACGTAAATGGTGTAAGAGTAAGAGTAATCTAAATTATCTAAAACCAATCTAATATTATTTGTTAAATGTGTTTTACTCATAAAGCCTGATTGAGTCTCATCAATGATGGTATCAAGAATTGGTTAAAGGCAGCTGGCAAATATTGTAGCAAAAATGTTGTAGTCTGCGTTTGTCCCCCTAAGGTGGAAGAGAACAAGAGAGCCAAGTTCCTGAGGGCCTTCCAGATCCAGGCTCACAATGATGATGGTGGACAAACAACAGAGGACAGCCGTTGTGGTAGATGTGGCAATACCAAGAAAAAAAACATGAAAAATTAGAGCAGTACCAGGGCCTCAAAGAAGAACTTGAGAAAGTGTGGAGAGTGAAGACATGAGTGGTGCCCGTGGTCATCGGGGCAGTAACCCCCAAACTGGAGGAGCGGCTAAAGCAGATCCCAGGATAAACATTAGACATCTCAGTCCAGAAAAGTGCAGCTCTAGAAACAGCCAAGAAACTGCACAGAACCCCCCAAGCTCCCGGGCTTCTGGTAGAGGACCTGAGAATAGAAGGATGAGACCACCCGCGAATAGTGAGATGGGTTTATAAATGTATATATATATCTGTATGAATGTGTGTGTGTGTGTGTGTGTGTGTGTGTATATATATATATATATATATATATATATATGATCCCGTCCTAGGTCATCGCCCAGGTCGCCCATATCAAAGCCCGCTACTGCACAGACATGTTGGGTTAAATGACCTGATTATTGCTATGATAAATGCTCAGGAACTCACACAGAATCATATTTAACGATGAAGAGTCATTTTTGTTTCTCTGAGTCAGGTTTCTGAACAGCTGATGAGTTAGTACAAATGATCAGTTTGCATTGTTGATTCTCGTTACACAAACAGTAAAAGTTTTAAATTACAGATGATTGACAGATTGTCTCATTCTATTTGGTGTTCTTGCCTCAGCAGTTCACAAATACAAAATCCAACCAGTTTTAATCTAAACCACAAGCTAAAAATGAATCATATCTGATGCACAAAGTTAGAATCTAGGAGCTGAAATTCTATTAAGAATTAGTGATTTCCTCAAAAATATGCATTTTATGTCTTCTGCCCTCTGATGGAAGACTGCAGAAGGATCTTTTATTTAGTTATACAATTTTACAGTAGATTATGAAATAAACTGTTATGTCACCACCAGCCAATAGCTCATTCATTTGTTAGAGTTTTCTGGTTATTATTTCATATGTCAGGCTTTAGTTCGTCAGTTATTTTTGTTTGTTTGTTTTTAACTCTGAGTCACTTTAAAAGTCACAAACTAATCTGAATATGAATCTTTGTGCACCTGAATAATTGCAAACCAACAAATGCATTTTTAGACTGGATTTCATATTTCTAGACTTGAATACGACATCTGATCCAGCTCATGAGAAATAAACGGACTGACATCAGTTATATATGATGTATAACAATGAGAACAAAAGCTGCACAACGTTTTTAAATCTCACTCCCTCTTCTGTAGTTGATGAGACGTCTCCCTCAGAGGGGACACCAGACTCATGGCTCTGAAGTCCACCCCCTCTGGCTTACTGAGGACTTCCTGTGGATAGATGTCTCTCCCTCTCAGTGGGACACACCCTTCAGTAGGAGCAGCTGCGGAGGTGTTGGAGGGTAGCTGGTGCTCCGTCAGCACCCCACCCTCTCTGCCCAGCATCAAAGCCTGACTGGGACTCCTCCAGACTATGAAGTGGACCACCTGCTGCTGCGTATAACTCTCTCTGTGGAGGCTGTGGGTCTCTGACAGGGTCAACCTGAAACACGTAACACACCTTCAACCTTCTGCTGGTGTTTGTTTTGCCTGATGTTTGTTATTTCAGTTTTTATTTATTATTTACTCTTTATTTCTGCTACAGTCTAGTACAGCAATCTACAGCCTTTGCAGTCCACACAGAGGTGTTTTGTCTCCCTTCGTCCATCAGAATAAAACCTGTTTAGCAGCTTTTGAAAAAACACAATTTAATTCAATTCAAGTTTATTTATATAGCGCCAAATCACGACAAGAGTCGTCTCAAGGCACTTCACATGATAAACATTCCATTTCAGGTCAGTTCATTAAGCCAATCAGAAATAATGTTTCCTATATAAGGAACCCAGCAAATTGCATCAAGCCACTGACTGGTGTCAGTGACTTGATGCAATCCTCATAGTAAGCAAGCATATAGCAACAGTGGAGAGGAAAACTCCCTTTTAACAGGAAGAAACCTCCAGAGGATCCTGGCTCAGTATACAGGTGCTGGCCAGTAAATTAGAATATCATCAAAAGGTTGAAAATATTTCAGTAATTCCATTCAAAACGTGAAACTTGTACATTATATTCATGCAATGCACACAGACCAATGTATTTCCAATGTTCATTACATTTAAATTTGATATTCATAAGTGACAACTAATGAAAACTCCAAATTTGGTATCTCAAAAAATTAGAATATTCTGAAAAGGCTGAATATAGAAGACACCTGCTGCCACTCTAATCAGCTGATTTACTCAAAACACCTGCAAAGGCCTTTAAAAGGTCCCTCAGTCTTGTTTTGAAGGCACCACAATCATGGGGAAGACTTCTGACTTAACAGCTGTCCAAAAGACAATCATTGACACCTTGCACAAGGAGGGCAAGACACAAAAGGTGATTGCTAAAGAAGCTGGCTGTTCGCAGAGCTCTGTGTCCAAGCACATTAACAGACAGGCGAAGGGACGGAAAAAATGTGGTAGAAAAAAGTGTACAAGCTCTAGGGATAACCGCACCCTGCAGAGAATTGTGACGACAAACCCATTCAAAAATGTGGGGGAGATCCACAAAGAGTGGACTGCAGCTGGAGTCAGCGCTTCAAGAACCACCACGAGGAGACTCATGAAAGACATGGGATTCAGGTGTCGCATTCCGTGTGTCAAGCCACTCTTGAACAAGAAACAGCGCAAGAAGCGTCTCGCCTGGGCCAAGGACAAAAAGGACTGGACTGATGCTGAGTGGTCCAAAGTTATGTTTTCTGATGAAAGCAAGTTCTGCATTTCCTTTGGAAATCAAGGACCCAGAGTCTGGAGGAAGAGCGGAGAAGCACAGAATCCATGTTGCATGAGGTCCAGTGTAAAGTTTCCACCGTCAGTGATGGTGTGGGGTGCCATGTCATCTGCCGGTGTTGGCCCACTCTGTTTCCTGAGGTCCAGGGTCAATGCAGCCGTCTACCAGGAAGTTTTAGAGCACTTCATGCTTCCTGCTGCTGACCAACTTTATGGGGATGCAGACTTCACCTTTCAACAGGACTTGGCACCTGCACACAGTGCCAAAACCACCAGCACCTGGTTCAAGGACCATGGTATCCCTGTCCTTGATTGGCCAGCAAACTCGCCTGACCTTAACCCCATAGAAAATCTATGGGGTATTGTGAAGCGGAGGATGCAATACGCTAGACCCAACAATGCAGAGGAGCTGAAGACGACTATCAGAGCAACCTGGGCTCTCATAACACCTGAGCAGTGCCACAGACTGATCGAGTCCATGCCACGCCGCATTACTGCAGTTATTGAGGCAAAAGGAGCCCCGACTAAGTATTGAGTGCTATACATGCACATTCTTTTCATGTTCATTCTTTTCAGTTGGCCAACATTAGAGAAACAAACATTTTTTCATTGGCCTTTAGAATATTCTAATTTTCTGAGATACCAGATTTGATATTTTCATTGGTTGTCACCTATAAATATCAAAATTAAACGTAATAAACATCGGAAATACATTGGTCTGTGTGCATTGCATGAATATAATGTACAAGTTTCACGTTTTGAATGGAATTACTGAAATATTTTCAACCTTTTGATGATATTCTAATTTACTGGCCAGCACCTGTAATTTACCATTTTTGAGAAATTTCTGCAGAAGAAAATTGGGGCCTCTAGAAAATCTTGTATTTCATCAGAATTCTGAGGGAAAAAAAGTCAGAATTCCTTTTTTTGTTTCAGATGCAGAATCAGGAACACATTGTTAAAGCTTCTGGAGCAAACTGGTACCAGTCTGACCCGTGAGCACCCTCTGATGGGAGCAGCAGTGATGCCACTGTTTGTCCTCTCCTGATGGGAACCATAACCCACCTGTACTGAGCTCTCGTCTCCAGGACCAGGTCCAGCCAGCAGGCCTGGTAGGTCTCCTTCTTCTCCTGGTTGTCTTCCTGAAGCTCACAGTAGGAGTTCAGCAGGTAGACGCCTCCTCTGCTCACACAGTGCATGGTGCAAAACACTCAAGGCTCTAACAAATGTTTATTGATGTGTGTGTGTGTGAGGGACATATGAGCCCCTGTGAGATCTTGTGTCTTAAATTTCTCATCTAGTCTATTTTTACTCCTCAGTGTCATTATGGTGTATTTAGTGAATGCTCCCCCTCCTCCAGACCTCCTGCTGGTGGGTTTCATCTGGAAACTAACTGGATCTGTTTTCCTCGCTGTGAGCCAGCCGGATTAATCAGATGTGCCTGAATCATCGTTAACAGCTCTAGATCTTAGCACAGAGGCTAAGTTTAAACTGTTTTAACACAAACATCTTCAAATGAGACGGTTTATGTGTGACCTGATCTGTCTGCTGATGATCACCGATGAAAAATAATAAGTTTAAAAGATTAGCTTCTAATGAACTCAAATCGATAAAAACGTGAGACTTTGTTTCCATCCTAACTTTCTTCTATGGGACTCCATGAGTTTGTGTTTCTGACCTCTGGAGACAATCTGGACTCATCCCAACAAACCGCATGATCTGTGACACCAGAGTCAGGTCTGTTTGGTGACAGATTCTGAGTCTTGTTGCTGTGGTAACGCTGATGCTCATCTACAAACCAACCAACCCCCTTCCACATCAGCCTGGTGTTGAATATCTAAAGACATTTTGTTCTGTGTGTATTTTTTCCACTTTAGAGCGTGTGTGGAGTGTGTTTTCCATCCTAAACCCCTCATGAAATACAGGTGCTGGCCAGTAAATTAGAATATCATCAAAAGGTTGAAAATATTTCAGTAATTCCATTCAAAACGTGAAACTTGTACATTATATTCATGCAATGCACACAGACCAATGTATTTCCAATGTTCATTACATTTAAATTTGATATTCATAAGTGACAACTAATGAAAACTCCAAATTTGGTATCTCAAAAAATTAGAATATTCTGAAAAGGCTGAATATAGAAGACACCTGCTGCCACTCTAATCAGCTGATTTACTCAAAACACCTGCAAAGGCCTTTAAAAGGTCCCTCAGTCTTGTTTTGAAGGCACCACAATCATGGGGAAGACTTCTGACTTAACAGCTGTCCAAAAGACAATCATTGACACCTTGCACAAGGAGGGCAAGACACAAAAGGTGATTGCTAAAGAAGCTGGCTGTTCGCAGAGCTCTGTGTCCAAGCACATTAACAGACAGGCGAAGGGACGGAAAAAATGTGGTAGAAAAAAGTGTACAAGCTCTAGGGATAACCGCACCCTGCAGAGAATTGTGACGACAAACCCATTCAAAAATGTGGGGGAGATCCACAAAGAGTGGACTGCAGCTGGAGTCAGCGCTTCAAGAACCACCACGAGGAGACTCATGAAAGACATGGGATTCAGGTGTCGCATTCCGTGTGTCAAGCCACTCTTGAACAAGAAACAGCGCAAGAAGCGTCTCGCCTGGGCCAAGGACAAAAAGGACTGGACTGATGCTGAGTGGTCCAAAGTTATGTTTTCTGATGAAAGCAAGTTCTGCATTTCCTTTGGAAATCAAGGACCCAGAGTCTGGAGGAAGAGCGGAGAAGCACAGAATCCATGTTGCATGAGGTCCAGTGTAAAGTTTCCACCGTCAGTGATGGTGTGGGGTGCCATGTCATCTGCCGGTGTTGGCCCACTCTGTTTCCTGAGGTCCAGGGTCAATGCAGCCGTCTACCAGGAAGTTTTAGAGCACTTCATGCTTCCTGCTGCTGACCAACTTTATGGGGATGCAGACTTCACCTTTCAACAGGACTTGGCACCTGCACACAGTGCCAAAACCACCAGCACCTGGTTCAAGGACCATGGTATCCCTGTCCTTGATTGGCCAGCAAACTCGCCTGACCTTAACCCCATAGAAAATCTATGGGGTATTGTGAAGCGGAGGATGCAATACGCTAGACCCAACAATGCAGAGGAGCTGAAGACGACTATCAGAGCAACCTGGGCTCTCATAACACCTGAGCAGTGCCACAGACTGATCGAGTCCATGCCACGCCGCATTACTGCAGTTATTGAGGCAAAAGGAGCCCCGACTAAGTATTGAGTGCTATACATGCACATTCTTTTCATGTTCATTCTTTTCAGTTGGCCAACATTAGAGAAACAAACATTTTTTCATTGGCCTTTAGAATATTCTAATTTTCTGAGATACCAGATTTGATATTTTCATTGGTTGTCACCTATAAATATCAAAATTAAACGTAATAAACATCGGAAATACATTGGTCTGTGTGCATTGCATGAATATAATGTACAAGTTTCACGTTTTGAATGGAATTACTGAAATATTTTCAACCTTTTGATGATATTCTAATTTACTGGCCAGCACCTGTAATCACACATTTGACAACATTGGGTGCAGCTGGCCTCAGATTTTTATCAGAATAACTGTTTAGGTGACTCTTACTGTGTCTTACAGCAAGTAAAAACAACATTCTCCTTTATATTCTGAATTTATTGTTGTGAAAACAAAACATGAAAAAAATAAAATAAACCTGTGACCATACAGATAATTAAAATGGCTGGTTTCAGTCTGGATTAAACACCAATCCTGATGAGTGGGATTAACATATAAAGCTAATCTGGTGCAGCTCATCAGTAGCTGAACCAGGCCGGCCGTTTCCTTGGCCGCTCCACTATCCTCTTGTCTCTGTCCTGATCGCTCGGCGTCTCTCCCTCGTACAGGACCACGGTCTCAGTGGTCGGGGCCCTCAGCGGGCCGCCCTCAATCTGACCGATCTGCTTGCGGATCAGAGACGTCTCCTTGCAAACCTTAGCGTAACAGAAGCCACACAGGATGTTCTTCTGCTTCAGGTGGCCACACTCTGGACACGGCTCGATGTCGTTCTGAGAAGTAAACAAACGAGATAAATAATTACCGTTTATAACCGACTCATCCTGTACCAAACAGCGTGTTCACCTGAACTGCTGAAAAAGTCAGCCATCAGCACACCTCCACTTCCAGCACACGTCAACAACAATAAATAACGGCGGCACTACCAACACACCTATTCTCCATTTACGTCTGACAGCGTTTTCCTGTTGTTGTCTCATTGTGTCAGGTTTAATATGGAATTCAACTCAACTCTGATTGGTAGTGTCTTATCTGAACAACACCAACTCTACCACAACAGCTCCTGTCCACGGTCCTGGTGAAGATGGTGTGGTGAATGTAAAACAGGAACCAGGCCAGACACATCTCCATGGTGACACTCTCAAAGTATTTCCAGGTCAGAGATAATTTTTGATCCCTACAGTGATTTGGGTCTGCTCTGGGGTCTCCTCTCACGGGACAGGTCCAGAAACCCTCCAGAAGAAGGCAACCAGGTAACATATGCTAGTCTAAATACCAGGACCAGAGGGTAGGACTGCCTTCTCACTGCAGGCAAAGCCCTGATCCATCCCACATACATTTGAGAGAGACTTTAATCCAAAGACACAAAGGGGAGGCTGCTCCACACTAACAACTATTTATTTGTGACTGATGGGTTAGAAAAGTAAAAGATGAACATCTGAACCCAAAAAGCTCTGGTGAGCAGCAGTGATGTAGAGGACCTGACTTTACCTTCACTTTTAGAAGCTTCCATTCACATCTCCTCCTGGTGCGGTTCACCTCGATGGTGCGTCTCTTCTTGGGGGCTGCCATCCACTGGATGCTGTCCAGGAGGCCGGGGCTCTGCGCCTCCTCCAGCTGCTGCTCCTGGTCGGACACAGGTAGGAGGCGGGGGGCATTCACCTCCAAGGCAGGAGCTACACAGAAATGATACTGATAAGACCACATAACGCTCCTGCTGAAAGTTGGGCCATTTGTTAGCTGAGCTAGCTTAGCTGTAGCATGTAGGAGGAAACTCACCCAGCTGAGTGTCGAGTCCAGTTATCTGCAGAAGTCTGCTCTCAACGCGTAGCAACGAATACCTGAGGTTGTGCACTAGCGCCGTTAAATTCATCATGTTGGATGTCAACACGACAGTTTTCCTCTGAGCATGTCACGGTGACCGCGGATTCCTGCGTCATAAAACTGCGACGGCAGGTGTTCTTCTCTTCCACAAAGCAGAGTTTAGTTGGACACACGGCTTCCATCTGGTGTGAGAAAGGTGTAACTGCAGCTCACCGAAAAATGTTCAATATGTCCAGGCCGGTCCAGACTGCATTATCAAAGACAAACAAATAAATAAATAAATAGTTCCAAATACATTTTTATATATGATTGGATGTCAACACTGGAAGGTTTTCGTGCATGTCTGGAAGACTCTGTAAAATATATACTTACTGGATAGGACCACCTTGGACATACTGCTTAGGACCCTCTTGCTTTCATAACCTTCTTAAATTAAAACTTTGAAACATTTTCATATTTTTTAGATTATTTTTGAACCACTATATGCTAAAATGACAGGGTTAATGAAAAGTCAGACCCCGCGGCACCCTGTGGCTGCACTTGCATCTTCAGAGTATCCGTATGGGTCCCTGATGGCTAGCGCTGACGTATTAGTTTTATTTTACACAGCAAAATTGTTTCTTTACCTTGTTTTTGCTGACATTTTGACTATCACTATAACCTTCATCAGCGCTTTGCCTCTGTTGGTGGCAGACTTCTTTCTCCATTTATCAGCGGGCAGCAGAGGACCTAGCGCTGGAGTGTGCTTCTAGCGCGATTCCTTTGTGTTTTAGATTGTGAACACAGCTGATTTGATTTTGTGATAAACCACTCCTGTAGAAACTAATGAAGGCAGAGAAAACATTTCAGCATTTAGATTAAGGGCCGTGATGTACTTGCTGTTTAACATTGCAAACGCGGGTTTAAAATGGCTGCCTAGCATTACTTGCTATTGATGTGACGTTCACGAACAAATCGAATCTTTTGAACGAGTTTTCAAAGTGAACAATGAGAGCTGAGTCCCTGTAGAGAGCTGCTCCCGGGTGAGAGTCATACGCTCTAACCAGTCAGCCAAAGGGACATCCCCTTGGCCAAGTAGCCAGGGCGCATGATCAATCGGGACACTGTGACAGGATGCTTACACTGTCACAAGAAGATGGGTCCATGTGGTCTTTAAGGGATGGCCATGGCCATCAACAATTCTCAGGGTAGGCTGTGGTGTTTAAACCAGGGTCAGGTGGTCCTAAGGGGTCCAAACTATGACAAGTACATCTCAACTACCACCACCATCACAACACCACCAGCAGCAGCCTGAAGCATTGGTGCAAGGTAGGACTGCTCTATGCTTTCATGTTGGTGACACCAAATTCTGACCCGACCATCTGAATGTTGCAGCTGAAATCCAGACTCATCAGACCAGGAAAGGTTTTCCCAATCTCTCTTGGTCCCGTTCTGGGGATCGTGTGTGAATTGTAGCCTCAGTTTGCTGTTTATAGCTGACAGACACGTGTGGGCTTCTGCTGCGGGAGTTAATCTGCAACTGCTGTTGTTGTTCTGCAGACCTTGGTAGAAACCAGTGCTTTTCTAAACTGCTGTTATCTTTCTATCAACTAGAACTAGTCTGACCAGTCTGCTCTGAACTCAACAAGACATTTTTTCCATGCCGCTGTTCACTGATAATTTTCTTCAGACCTTTCTCTGTAGACCCTATAAATGGTTAAATGGTTGTGGGTTCAAATCCCATTAGATCATTTGTTTCTGAAATATACAGGAAAGTAAATCTGTTACCAAGATCCAAACTATGTTCAAAGTCCCTTAAATCTTATTTTCCTTTCATCCTAATGCTCATTTTAAACTTCATATGTTAATCTTTACTGCCAATAAAGTCGCTGTTATATGACTGGCTGATTGGATATTCTTAATCAACAGTTAAACAGGTGTGCCGCTGCCTACTGAGTGTCAAAGTAATAATTTACAAACGTCTTGAGCCCTTTTGTTGTTGTTTTTCTTTACTCCAGAGGGCGCTGTTTGCGCTGAAGTTTTTTTTGACACTCTCTCGGCCCCCGTAGCGTAGAAGAAGAAGTTCAAGATGGCGGAACGTGGCTACAGTTTCTCGCTAACCACATTTAGGTAAATTATGCGAAATTATTTATAAAAATAGACAGCGCATCTATAGATGTGACATAAAGTGTTTGTTACTGAAGAACATTCGGATTAAAACGTTTTTATTCTCTATTGTGACGCGGAGAGCCGGGTTTGGGGCGGCTGGAGTTGATGCACTGTCATTGTCGTCTAATGTATCGGCGGTTAGCTTAGTGGCTAACACAGTAAAGTAACTCAATGTTTAAAGTTGGACGCGATTATTTTTTAATGAATGAAATGCTGATCTACTAATCGTTGACGTAGTAGACGTAGATGAGACAATTAAATAGCCTTAAACTAGCTTAGCCGGGTCAGTTGTTTCTGCGTTACTTTCGGTTTCATCTGTCGAGTCATTTTATTTATTTCTTGTTATAATCAAATAGTTATTTTATCAGCATAAGATTAAGTAGATTTTCTCTCCTGCTTCATGTATTTGAATTCCTTGTCCTGTGTTTGTTTTCTGCAGCCCCTCAGGTAAACTGGTCCAGATTGAATATGCGCTGGCAGCTGTAGCAGCTGGAGCTCCTTCCGTTGGTATCAAAGGTGAGAAAGGGTCCCAAAGAAGTTATCACCTAAAGCCTCTTTCTTCACTTTAAGTAGAAATGAATGCCTCCCCCAAAACACAACTTCCTGACTAAATATGCACGGGAAGCTTTTGCTAAGAAGCATTTGTGGTGTTGCAGCCTCTAACGGAGTTGTGCTGGCCACGGAGAAGAAGCAGAAGTCCATCCTGTATGATGAACAGAGTGTCCACAAAGTGGAGCCCATCACCAAACACATAGGCATGGTCTACAGTGGGATGGGACCTGACTACAGGTGGGTGCAGCTCATTCTTCTGTCCTGACTTGAGGAGTTTCGCTTTGACTTTATAACGGCGTCCTGAATCACCACAGGGCTACAAAAATAAAGCGTTGTGATAAAACGAGTCTGGACGTGGATCTGCTGTAGGCGTTACATTTATAACCTGTAAAAATTCTTCTTGATTAGTTGAAATAATTTTAAACTGATAGTAAACTAAGATGAATGCTCTATTCCTAGTGTTGTTTATTTCATTTATGCAACTGGGAGAGTGTGTATTTCCACTGTTCAGATGATGTCACTCTTAGGTTATTGCATCATTTGAATCTTACCTGTACACAGAGAGTGATCAGGGCTTTTCCTGCGTTCAACTTTGCTTGGCTGCCGCCTCCAGCTAATTTTGTGCCGCCCCAGCCTGATTTCACTCTGCCCCCAGCTGTATGGATGTTATTTTAACTTCATTTGCAGCGTTGCACCACTACAAGGGCGCTGTATCAGCAGCGGTGCACCGAAAAGCACTAAAACCGCTGCAGAACAAGGTCAAAAATAGCTTTTCTCGCTAGTTGGTACGTATCTATGGTTGGTGCTATTGACGTCCTGATTTTCCCCCAGGCTCTTGTATTGATGAAAATGTCCGGTTTTTCATCCAGGAGCAGGGATGGAATTTTGGGGGAGCTGTATATCCTACACATCCAAGGAGAGCCAGATAAAATGTTTCTACCTATATTACATCATTTATGGACTCTCGGCGTGCCGAGTGTTCGTTTTAGCGGAGAGTACAGAGAGCGGCAGAGTGCTGATTGTTGGTGCACTCCAGGCAGCTGCGTCCAGCGCACAGTCCATTCTCAAAGTGGCACAACCAAAAAACTATGATTAACACACGATCGTTCATGTCCGCACATGTTCTCTACTTTCTGTTGTGCCTGAAGCGCTCTGCTACTGCGGAGCTCATCACATGTGCTGCGGTAACTCCACCTCACTGACGCAGCATTGAAACGTGCACGCTTTGCGGTCAGGAGATCCCTTTGATCTGCTCAAAAGTAATGAGGTGAAAAAGTAAGAATCCAAGCAGCAGTTTTTCTGCAGAGTTTAGAGGAGATGCAGGAAGATGAGAGACAAGACAGGACAGGAAAATAGTTAAATAAAAACAAGAAAGCAAAACAAAGTGTTGAAAAGTAAAATGTAGATAGATTTATCTCCACTACACGTTTTTACCTGTATAAAACAATAAGTGATACACATTTAATATTTATACATCTGATACAATTCAGATCACCTTCAACACTCAGGTCTAGTCCACACATAGCCGGGGTTTTTTAAAAACGAATATCCGCCCCTCCAAAAACTTGCATCCACACCACCGCGTTTTAAAAACAAACTCTGTCCACACGTACCCGGATAAATACGTTTTTAAGGACATGCCAGACCTGTAGGCGGCAGTACTTCCCCCGTTCTTAAACTCGTCCTTCGTCTGTGGTCTTCCGCAAGAAGCAGTAATTCCGCTTGCAAAAACAAACAAGCAGAAAGCGCTTGGACAGTTGATGGATCGGGTAGTGACAGAGCGCAGCTCTGAGGGCTTCCATGATGCCGGCTAGTGTAAACACAGGTTGCACACGTGATGTCAGCATTTTTTGTCGCGGAAAGTGACGTTGCGGACCTTAAAACTCCGGTTTTGTCCGTCCACACGCAGACACCCAAAACGGAGAAAACGCAGATCTTCACTTTGGCCGGAGTTTTTAAAAAGATCCGTTTTCGTGTGGATGACAGGCCAAAACGTAGAAAAATATCTACGTTTTGGCAGATCCCCGGCTACGTGTGGACAGGGCCTCAGTCACACACCCAGAGCCGTTTCAAGGCATTTTGGGGGCCAAGGCGAAACATAACACCCCCCCCCCCCCCACCTGGGCTCCCTAGAAGCCTCTGTGTAATCCAAACCCTCTCCAGGAGTATTAGATATACGGTGTTTGTAAAAGCCCCTCAGACATTACTGACATGTTCTAATATTATCAGATGAAAAACAAAATTATCAGACATGGTGTCTCATCTGCTGCGTTTCTAAACTTGCAAAAAGTAACAAAACCATTTGAAAGCCAATATTTGTGGATTCTCTGGAAGTTTCCATGGAGTGTGTGACAACTTATTTTTTCATTGATCCTATCGTCTAATCCCACAGCTGAAACAAGCATCCTTAATAATCGGTGCACAGGAAGCTTATCGATGATGTAGTAAAACAAAAGGTATAATAATTTCTTATCAATAAAACATTGTTGCAGCACTAAAGCAGCAGAAATATGAGATTTAGCAATAAATATGCAAAATATTTACATATAAATTGTTTTAGAGCCCTTTTATTGGCAGAATCTGATATTAATTTTAGCTCTTACACCTGGAAAAAAAATGGGTCCCAACGTGGTTTGTGTGGCGTTGCCATAGTGTGACAGGCAGAGATCCCCTGTCCTCTTTTTTTGGAAATGGTAATATGGTCACCCTATATTACTGCTACAAATCTGCTGCACACACAGAAGCAGGAAGTATGGCAAGCCATTGTAGTATATAATTCACAAACGCTTCTATCTGTGAACATAATTTAAACTGGTTTATTGCCAACCCGTACATTGTAGACATGCCACCATTACATTGTTAGCAGCAGAAATTATATGTTATTATCATTTCCAATACAAATGCATGTTAATGAAATGCATTATATTTTACTGGATATATTTATGTGTTATTTTGACTAAGATTAGTGTTATTAACCCTCTGGGGTCCATGGACGCGTATCCTCGTCTTTTGAACAGGTCTGATTTGGGACGCTGTAGCAGCAAGACTCCGCCTCCCTAAGTTTCGGTTTCAATTCAGCTTTAAAAAGGAGATTATAAACTACACCCCCGGTTTTAAATCTTGTTAATAGGCAATGTAAAAGTGGAGTTATACTAAACTAAAAAACCCTAACGCTAAATTATAAAAAACATTCGTCATAAATGTTTGTTGGTTTCACAGTAAAATAAGCAACTTTTTTCCAATTCCGATTTTATGTTTTTGAGTGATTTAAGGTCTAATATGCAACCCCATTATGTCCAAATATAAAAAATAAGTATAAATTCATAAAGTCCATGTTGTGCTGAAAAGATTGATGCCACATAAGGCAGTGGTTATGGTTTTTATTTTGGAAATACAAAGGAAAACTCTAAATTAGTCAAAAACAGCAAATTGCACCCTGGACCCCAGCGGGTTAATACAAAACTAAAATGTTACTGAAATGTAGGTCAAATATTTAAAAATATTTTAACTTTAAATATCAGATGAGAAAAAGAGAACTAAACACCAATCTAATGCATATTATTGAGCCTTTTATAATAAGAGTCTGTTATTTCAGTCTGATCATTTTGTTGTTTTATTTCATATTGTTTAACAGCAAACCAGTTGCTTCACTTGAAACGTTGTCAAATGGAATATTCAATTGTAGCATTCCAGCCGGACTTTATTCAGACGATGCACTCAATGATCATAACGGATGGACCATGGTGGGGTATTCCAACCCATTTATTCAGAAATTACCATAGACACATCGTAAGAGCTGTAATTATAACATAAACAAACAAGAAAATCAACATTCCTGTCATATAACATGTTCCGCCTTTGCTAAATGAACCAAAAAAAAGACAAAGCATGTGCTATCATTAGCTTGCTAGTTCACTCAGAAACTTGTTAACAAATAAGTAATATATTTATAAATTTAAACAAGAAACCATTCATAAACATACCTGTTCGCCTTCCAGCTAGATGCTAAATTGAAGATGGATGGAAAACTCTAACCTTCTTCTTAACTTCCTTCTGGTAAGCAAAACAAAATCCTTCCCATCTCCGTGTTAAAAGAGCACCAGCGTAGTTACCAGCAAACGCATAACTGATTAGCTAACTGCCTAACCTGCTTCCGTTAATAAGTTAAAGGTGCCGTATTTCTGCCAAATAAAGCTTACAAGTTGGGCCCTTGGGTTAGAGAACAAGATAACAAGCATTAACGTTGGCAGTTAATAAAGTGTGAGCCGTTTATTTAGTATTTACATGAAGATAAACTGACGAAGATCCGAAACCGGAAGTCAGCGTTCTGAACTTCAAAATAAGAGTCATGTAAACCCTAAAACATGAATTACTCATGGATATTAGTATCTAAACAATACCAAAATAAACAAATAATCTGGGTTATTTACACTCCCACCAATCATTTGTTCCAAATATAAATTCCTTCATCATAGGAAGAAAGAACACAAATGATTTGCAAACACAAACAAAAGGTCTACTGTGCAAAAAAAAAAGAAAGAAAAACTGAACTAGTCACCATGTAACAACAAGACCAGTTTCTGAACTGGTCGTTCAAGCACTGACTGCTTGGTGAGACGTTCACCATTTTTACCTAGTTTATTGTCACCTAAGCATATCTTTACTCTCCTAACAAGTCCATCTCTGTTCTTTGTAGCTTGTACGACTCTGGCCAGCCTCCATTCATTTCTAGGTAAACCTTCATCCTTCATCATGACTATATCTCCCAACTGCAGGTTTCTCTTCGGGGTGTGCCAGCGTTGTCTGAGGGCAATGTTTGACAAATACTCTTTCCGCCAACGGCTCCAGAACTGCTCGACCAAGTATTGTATGTGGCGCCATCTCCTTTTCGCGTACATGTCTTCCCTGACAAACGTGCCGGGGGGCAGAAGGGCTATAGTAGTCTTCAAGGTAAGTAAGTGGTTGGGTGTGAGTGGCTCAAGACTGTTGGGATCGTTGAGGTTGTCAACAGTGAGAGGACGACCATTAACTATCGTCATTGCTTCATAGAAGAAGGCTCGGAGAGAAGCATCTGAGAGACTTCTAGGAGAGAGAGAGAGAGAGAGTCGAGTTGAGTACACTCCTGACTGTTCTAATTTGACGCTCCCAAACTCCACCAACATGGCTGGAACTAGGAGCATTCAGGATGAAGTCACACTGATTATCAGAGAGAAAGTTTTCCAGTTTGTCACCGTCTA